GCACCTCCATTGGACACCGAGACATATGTGCACAAGGCCTCCCATTTGTCTCGACCCGGTCTGAAACTGGGGAAACCCTTTTGTAAATCGTCGGTAAACATACATTTGCGCTTTTGCGTGTTTTTGGCGTACTGACAGCCACGCTATCTATATTCTGATTAAGAACAGGGCTGCCCGCACTGACGCGGCTCAGGGATTACGTCTCACGCAGCGTTGTGCGCAGTGCACTAGTGCCTGTAAATGTAATGGTCCAATTAATGTAATTTAAAAATCAGGACATTTCCGTACTTTCTAAAAAAAAACCCGGGACGCCCGGGTAAGGACGTGATATGTCCTTACCCGGGAAATACGGACGTTTGGTCACCTTAATTGTAAGGATTTCTGAAAGGGGGTGAAGGTTGCATCAGGTCTCAAAGAGTATCAAATAATTTATTTCAACTCCATCTGAAATATCTCATCACCCAAACAAACTCATCTTACGTGTAGCAAAGCAATACATGGTAATAAAGCATTTCTCATTCTGATCAGGGAAACAAAGGCTGTAGTTCAGCAAATAATGATTGAGTCTTTAACCTTTTAGCATGAACAAAAAGTTAGGGTATGACTTTTCTTTTATTCCAGTTGCAAATTCTCATTCTGAGAATTTTTAGGTGTTTTTACAACTTCCTATGTGGGTTATATTTGACTGAGTTTGGGTGTGAAAAGTCAATTAGACACTTTGTTTGAGCTTTACTTATAATCACTTTGATGAGTTAAAGGGTAGGAGAAAAAGATCCCTGAGCAACATTCTTATAAAAAGTAAAATGTTTCAAACAATACATTTTGCTGCTGGTTAACAAGAACGTAGAGATTACCCATCCTCTATGGTATAAAAACAAAGAATTGTCCAGTTGGAACAGCCAATCTGTCAGGCTGGGTGGAGGTTTATGAGGACCCAAATGCAGAGATGAGTTTGCAGATTTAACCCTGACACAATGTGTCCATTTCTAACCATCTTATCTAAATCATTCGAATGGATAAAGAGACTTATTTTAGTTGGGAAAAATAGTGGAAAAACAACTAAGCTTAATATAGATATGAGTGGAATCTCTACCACAAAGCAAGAAGCACCCGTTCCATTCATTCATCCATCCATTTTCCATTACGCTTATCCCAGCTGAGGGATGAGAGGTGCTGGTGTCTATCTCCAGCTGTCTACGGGCAAGAGGCAGGGTTCACCCTGGACAGGTCTCCAGTCCTCCAGGGCAACTGTTGTGAATAGCTATTACATTCAGTTCCCAGCCAGCTGGGAATTCATATGTTCTGATACTTTAAGATGTTTTATGCCCTTCCTGGTAGGGGTGGCAAATATAATTTTTTTAATCAGATATTATTCGGATTGTCATAAATTGTTTATGAACACACGTCCTACTAGCTGTGTGTTAGAACAATAAATGAAATCGTGACTCAGGCTCAAATCATGGTCAAACAGTTAATTCTGCAAATACATGGAATAAATTCACCACAACTTCTGTTCAAAATATAAGAGTTTATTAACAAAAATCATTCAGCTCCAAGTCAAACATATTTCAGTTAAAAACTCTTGACTAAAACTAGTGAAATTCAACTAAACTACGGTAAACTACTATGTACAAAGAGGAAGGGAAACATGGTTGAAAACCATATTACAGTTTAAGATGGCTTTTGTGTTTGAAAACCAAAATTTATCAGGAAGAATTTGGAACATGATCAAATTATATTTTCACAAATTTAATTAAATTTTCTGCAGGGGCAGAGCAAAGAAGAGAGGTCTCACAGCTGCTCCATGAGCCAAAAACTTCTTCCTCTTCTGCGTTCATCATGTCAAGATGAAACATAGACACTGGTTCCTAATGTCCAAAACCACAATCATGGCACATGGCACAACAACAACACAGAGACAAAAAGGACAAACAACCATTCACACACACACACACACTCAGACCTATTTTGAGCAAGACCCTTAACCCCACACTGCTTTTCGGGCACCCAAAATGGCAGCCCACTGCTTCTGAAGGGGATGGGTTAAATGCAGGGAATGAATTTTATTGCTCTGAACTTGTGACAGTGTAATGACTATAAAGGGGGAGGAAAAAGCTGGGATTACTCCTTCAGGGAAATGTTGGGAGAAATGGCGAATTTTCAGGGCTTGTTCCAGGGTGTGTGCTGTCCCAACAGCCAACCAGTCCCAACAGCTGCTTGGGGACCTGGGTTTGAATCCTGCTAGTGTCAGGAATGGCATCCACTGTAAAAACTTCTGCAAAGTCTATGAGCAAATTATAATTCCTTGCTGTTGCCTTCGCTTCCTGTTAACCCTTGGCCTTATGTCTCTCTCTCTTTCTGTTTTTCTCTTTATCATTTTCATTTCTGTCTGTGCGTCCAGTGGATCTGAAATTGTCTAACGTTTTTTTTAAGGACACATGTGCATTATAATGAATGTGTCCCTATAGTCTGGGGTTCCTTTAGATGTCTAGGGCTCTGGTTGCCTTTATGTTGGCGCAGAGCTCTGCAGGGCGAGTCTGTGGCCATTCACACCTGTTATTGAGCCTATTCTCCTTCTAAAGAACCCTTATAAACCCATTATATGCAAGCATACCCATACATATGTATCACAGGTGTTTGGCTCCAACCATCCACGGGTACACACTAATCCTAAATACTAGGCTATATACATACTGCAGCTATATACAACTCTGAACAATATTGTGTAATCATCATAGGGTTTGCTTAATGGATTTATGTATTAGCTGGGTTTCTATAAGATGATTGCTCTTGTTCTGGGTAGTTTGTCATGTTTTATTTTGTCCTCTCTTTTCTTTCCCTCTTGTTCCATGGAGAGGTGCAGCACCAGACTTCTAGGGGCTACTGTATATTTTCTGTGTTGTTTGTTTTTGATTGAAGTTGATTAGAAGAGCAGTCATATATCCAGCTGGGATTATTTTCTGT